TAGAAGCGCGGTGCTCGAGTCGGTAGTGCGGGGCACTGTGCTAGCGTCGATTCCGCAGTGCTGCATAACGACGTGGTGTTGCCAGCGCCCGCTACCGAAGTGCTTGGTAGCGACTCGATGTCGCAGTTCTGGAAATCCACGTGATGTTCAAGCCCGTCGTGGGCAGCATGATAGCTCTCGATGCTGCAGTGCTGGCTCGCGGCGCGGTGCTCGACTCCGTCGCTATGGATACTGTGGCTGTTGCGTTCAATTCCGTAGTGCTGGTCGGTGTGGTGCTCGAGCCTGTCGTGGCGTGGGGGAAAGCGCTCGTTCGCTCGCTCGCAAGTCATACGCAGAAATGCGAGTGGACAGATCTACCATGCACAATACTGGGCAACACCTCTCGCCCAAGCACTGCATTCCTAAACACGTGCTGGTACATTCGCAGCGTGCTTCTGCACTTGTCCGGTCCAGTCGTCTCTAGGGCGCCCTACCCGCCTCACATTGTTGCACGTGATTGCAGAAAGATTCCCAAGGCAACATGTTCGACACTTCGGCACGTCGTCTTCGGGCACTCTCACGACCCTGCCGTAAGCAAGCTACTGCTGTCGCCACAATTTCTGTGAAATTGGCTACCTGTCGGCTCTGGCCAAAACCACCTCGTTGGACACGCGCGATGAGAAGGAAGGCTGGATGCGCAGCATTGGGTAGCGACATGATGCTCGAATTCGTCGTGGTGGAAGCCGTCGTATGCTCGTTTCGGCCGTCCTAGATACCGACGAAGTGCTGCACCGTTGCGCCGCTCGGTACCGTAGTGGTGACCTGCCACGCGGTGCTCGGCTTCATCGTAGTGGGCACCGCGGCATATCCCTCGTCATAGACCTTGTCCCACTTGTGAATGTCCGAATCCTGCTGCTGCTCAGGGGCGTGGTGCTCACTTGTGCCACCCGTGGATGTCAGAGCCACGAAAATTCAAGGACGAAATGCTCGTCCTAACTCTTGTGCCACTCGTAGACGTCAGGGTCGTGATGCGCTCTGGCATCCAAACACTCGTCAGCGAAGTGCTGCTCCGTGCCGGGACGCTCCTGACAATGGTTGTCCCGATCGTGGGTGGCAGAATCTTCCTGCTGTTCAATGATGTGGTGCTCGTCGCACTGCTCGTGCCACTCGTGATGACAAGGACGCGATGCTGTCTGGCGTCGCGTCGCTGATTCTTAAAGTTATGGCTTCCCGTGTGCTACCTGGAGGTGAAGGTGTCGTCGTACTGCTCGCTTCGCTCGCGAATGTATCGCCGCGCTGTCGCTCGAGGACGTCGCGGTCGCTGCACCGCTCGTGCCTCTCATGGATGTCGGAGTCGTCATGCTTTTCAGTGACGCGGAGCTCGTCACACCGCTTGTCACACCGCCACCTCGCGGCAGGCCGGCAAATGCGAGCCGCGCCGCGGCGGCAGGCCTGACCAGCAGCTCCCACGACCCGCACGGCAATCTCCACGACACCGAATCTGACGTTGCGACTTCGGGGCGCGTGGCCCGCTCGGCCGGCAGGTCGCCAACCAGCCTGGCCACAGACCGCAACGCCCCCGCGGCGCGCGGCAGCTTGCTGGCAAGCAGCAAGGGCATCCTCGCCCTTGGCTTCCAGCTTCGAGGCGGTACGCGGGAGAGGAGGGTCAGCAATCCCCTCCTCTCCTCGCGCGTCTGCTCGCGGGGCCTCTTGCCCATGAAAAGGCCCCCCCGCCCCCTGGGCGCGCGGGAGGGTCGCAGTGAGGGGTAGGGGTTACAGCGCTCACCCTTCGAGTATGTACGATAGGGATGAAGAGGCGGTACCGTGCCCACCTCTGAACGATAACGCCAGGAGCTGGAGTAGCGATGCCCGCGGGCCACAGCTTGACAAAAGATGCTGCAGAACACCTTTCGGTGAGACCCGGCGACGAGCGGCGACGGAGTGGCGACGGGGCAACAACATGCCGGCCGGGGCGGCAGACCAACCAGTTCCTTGTAGAACGGGCAAGCACCTCTAAGTGCGAGCGCTGCTTGCTGAATGAATCACTCCACCCTGTCGTACACCCAGACGTGTCGGTAGGGCGGGCCGGGCATCTCGCCTCAGACTTCCTCAACACTTATGGCCCCGATGCTTGAAGCTTGCATCAGTTTCGCGGATCGAGGCAGGTCGCTTTCAACATGTGACCCTCGCTTTGGCGCCGCGCACATTCGTTTTCAATGCTTGTCACATGTCACGAATGGAAAGTGTGCCGTTTTCAAAATGTGATCTTCACCTTTAGCGCCGCGCAATGTTTTTTAAAGACTTGCAGCAGCTTGACGGATGGAGGGCGGCTCCCTTTCAAAATGTGGTTCTCACCTGAGCGCTGCGCGCGTTCGTATGGTGGGAGTACCAAGAGTTGTGTTCTGACACGATTTCGGATTGACAGGACGCAACAGTCACATTGATTCGCGGTGTTGATGTACTGGCACGCCTTAGGACTGTCAAGACGCAACGGTCACGCTCATCCGTGGCGAGGAAGTCCCAGGAACTGTCTTCGCACGATGGAAATGTCTATGACGGTTGTCTTCTACGGGCAGTTCCCGCAATGAATAAAGACTGCTGCAGGGACCTGTCAAGGGGAACTTGGAAGGATGGCTCATCATAACATCGTTGAGGCGTCTCGGATCTACACTCGTCCGCCTCCTCCTTATCCGTTCCCAATTCCCCCCCCTCCTCATCCCTTCTCTTCCCCATCCTGAAGCTTCTCTTCCGTCTCATCGACTTTCTAAGCGTTTTCCTCTTTTCGGGCCTCCGGAGACCTCCGAGGGCCTCCAGATGCTTTGGGACTGGGCAATACCCTCACCACCGCTTTGGGCACCGATCTCTCAATACCTTTGCTGGGCGTTCCCCACAGCGGTGATGATGCATCAACCCCAGCCCTGGAACAACTTCTGCCTCCTCCTACCCCCCCCCGCCCACAGGCTCCAGCGCTTCCGCTCTAAGGAGATGGACGACACGTCTCCTATGCCGCTGAGGCTTAGCTTGTCCGTGGGCATAAGGGGCAGCAAGTTTAGCAGACCACGCGCGCCAATGCCTTAGCAAGTCTGAGCTAGAATTGCCCTTGGAGGGACTTGCACCTAAGGAGGCGGAGCAGCAGCAGCAGCAGGAAAAGGATATGACGTGGAGAAACAGCATCATATAGGATGGCGCCAGAGGGACACCTTCGGAGTCCTCTGGAGGCCTCCTGGAGGTGGTACGGGCCCCTCTCTCTCCCCCCCCACACACACACAGACACGCACACACACACACACACACACACACACACACACACACACACACACACACACGCAAAGAGGTGGGCGGAGTAGCGCCGCGAGGGGTATTAACTTGTCGTCGTTGTCGTCCTCGCCCTCGTCGTCATCGTCATCGTCGTCACCGTCGTCGTCGTCGTCGTCGTCGTCGTCGTCGTCGCCGCCGTCCTCGTGCCCATCGCTGTCGCTACAGGGTTAGCTCAAGATCACCAGCTGGGCAACCAGGCGTGCTGGACGGGACCGCCAGCGCAACCGCATCGGACATGCACCCGCCCAGAAGGTCGCTGGACAAAGAGCCCAAGGCCAAAGGCTCCATCCTGGACGCACGCTTGCTCTTTTCGCGCGATGTCTGGAAAGTTACGTGATCTTGCGGCCATTTCGCGGGTTCCAGAAACCCTGCACCAAAAAACCTTGCCATCTCTTGAGGGCGCATCGTTTGCTTCCGCCAACTTCCACCAGCCTCGCGCCGGCTTCTGCCGGCGGAGCCGCCCCAGTTGTACTTCCGCCGGCCTTCCGCCGCCTTCCGCCGAGGAAGAAGTGCCAACTTTTTCGGTCCTCGAAGGCGAAGCCCTTCCTGGAACGCCCCATCTGGGCAGATGCCCTCGTGGCAGGGCTGCTCTGGCTGGGGACCATCGCCGACGCGGTCTGACAGGCGCCGCAGCGGTCGACGCCTGTCCTTGCAACTACCGCAAGGCACCCATAATCGGCACTGGCAGCCAGGCACACGGGTCACGGGAACTGCTGATGGGCCTGTTTTCCACCACCAACACCATAAGTTGGAGGAGGGAAGGAGAAGGACGAGGAGGAGGAGGACGAAGAGGAGGAGGAGGGTTGGGGCGCAGGGTCTTGCAGGATCTTGCGGGATCCTGCAAGGCCCCTCCTCCTCCTCCTCCTCCTCCTCCTCCTCCTCCTTCCCCCTCCTCCTCCTCCCCTCCTCCTCCTCCTCCTCCTCCTTCCTCCTCCCTCCCTCCTCCTCCTCCTCCTCCTCCTCCTCCTCCTCCTCCTCCTCCTCCCTCCTCCTCCTCCTCCTCCTCCTCCTCCCTCCCCCTCCCTGGAGCGCGGAGCACGCCAGGGGCCGCGCCAGGAGCGCCGCCAAGGGGGGCGCCCAGCGGCCCAGCGCCGGCCAAGGAAATCTGCGCGGACATCCGAAGCCTTATGCTATCGGGGCCCACGCCACGCCGCTGGGGATAGGGATCGGATGAACGATGCTCAGGAGGAGGAGGAGGAGGAGGAGGAGGAGGAGGAGGAGGAGGAGCAGGAGGAGGAGGAGGAGGGGGAGGAGGGGAGGAGGAGGAGGAGGAGAGGAGGAGGAGGAGGAGGGGGAGGAGGAGGAGGAGGAGGAGGAGGAGGAGGAGGAGGAGGAGGAGGAGGAGGGGGAGGAGGGGGAGGAGGAGACCCGGGCTAGACGGGTCTTGCAGGATCCTGCAAGATCCTGCAAGACCCTGCGCCCCAACCCAGGTCAACGCGAAGAATCCCGCAAGATCCTGCAGGGTCCTGCACCCAAGCCCGGGTCAGTGGGAGCCTGGCCCTGCAGAATCTTGCAAGATCTGGCGCTCTGGCTGACCCCCGTTTGCATTGACCCCCGTCTCAAGGCTCCCGATCCTTCTTGAGCATCGTTTAACCGGCTTGCCCCGTCCCTTCTTCTCTCCCTGCCTGCCCCATCTCGGGCACTTCTGCACTGTTCCTCTTCCCTCTCGGTGTGCGCTATGCCCCTACTACGCTCTGCTGGTGGGATGGGCCAAGTCTACCATGAACGACTACGTTTTTGTCCGCTAGATGAAGAATTGAAGAAGGGCGCCGTTGGCGCTGAAAATTGGCAGAGTACAATTGCCGCCAGTGGCTAGCGTGGATGGCCCGCCAGGGGTTGCACCCCCCTCTGCCAGCCCTGGGTCGTCCACCCAGGCGAAATACCCTCGTACGAGGGAGAAAAATGCACACACGAACTCGCGACGTCGGATGTCACTGAGCTGGTCATGCTCGTGCCATTTGCGGGAGCATCGCCGTGATATCCGCAGAGAAATCGACATTCTCCGCGCTGTCGACGAGGAGGTCCGCACCGCTGAAATCCTCGTCCTTGGAGTAGATGCTCTTGGTCACAACCACGCTCATGCCCGCCGCCTGTCCTGCGCGCAGGCCGATGTTCGTGTCCTCCAGCACGACACACTTCCTCGGGTCCAGGCTGAGCTCCCTGGCGGCCAAGTTGTAGATCTCCGGGTCGGGCTTCTTCTTCGACACGCAGTCGCCGGCGAATATGCGCGTGGTGGGCGCGAACTCCGGCAGCAGCGTCTGCACCACCGCCGACACCGCGGCCTCGTTGCTGGTGGAGCAGACCGCGATGGTCCAGCCCGCGCTGCGGGCCGCAGTCAGCAGCTCCCTGAGCTGCACGAAGGAGATGGGCACGGAGAGCATTGGCACAATGCCCAACAGCAGGTCCTGCTCCTTTTGAGCAGGACTCGCTGTCCACGCCGCCGCGGCCTGTGCCCCTTCGAGGCAGGAGGCCGCCTGCCCCACAGCGGCCGCTGTTGGTCTGGGGCAAGAGTTGCTGTTGGGCATCGTACCCATTCTTTCCGAGCCCATTTCGGGCGTGCAGACCTGACGCCCTCCCGGAGGGGCAGCTCCCCGGCCCGGACGATGTCCATGAAGAGCGAGGTCTTGAGCTTGTGCAGCGCCACGATCTCGGGGTGGTCCTTCGCAGGGGCCTCTGGGTGCGGCCATGCCCCGGGATTGTAATCTCTGAAGTATCGGGTCATCCGCTCCTTGCCGCCTCCCGTCGTAAGGAGCTCCCCGTAGAGGTCCACGCTCCACTCGCAGTTGTATCCCTTCTCTTTGAAGGCCCTGTTGAAAGAGACGCGGTGGCCATCCTGCGGGGCAGTACGCGACCACAACCACATCGAGGACACACCCTGGGGGGGTGCCTTGCGTTCGCCAATCATCGGCAGAACACCGACACCAGCTTACTACGGGTTGTGGTCGATGTGACGTCACAGGACGGCCAAATCGACCACAACCACAACTCAAGTGCTCACGTCGAGGTCGGCGGGCTTTCTCCCGAGGGACCCTGCAGACAAATCAGCTTAGCTATGGTTGTGGTTCTTTGTTGCGCGCGGACATCCCGCTCTGTCTCCACCAGGGTGCCGTCGCAGTCGCACAGAAGGGCACCCGCACCCGCCTTGGAGGGCGCGGCGCCCATCGCGGCGGGTACCTGCCGGGAATCCACATAAAGAGGGGTAAGCAAGACTGAAAAGAGGCCCAGGACTCGTACATAAACATAAGCCACATCCCAGGGTTTCCCATCTGTTCTTTCTATTTCCTGGATGTTCGTCCTCCCCTCCAATCACCATATGTTCCATCTGTTCCTGGGAATCGACGTTATGTTTGTTTGTGTCTGAGTTTTCTTCCTCCTGAACACGACGTGGAAACATTCCTCCCTCAAGCTGCAAACGGGAGGCACCCACAAAAGGAATCGATTCCGCGCGGGATCGTGCAGTTCTAGCGCGTTCACGTCTGACAGTCTGTGTATGAGTTCGCCTGCGTACGGCAAAGCCTGGGTATGAGTGATTGCGCATGAATGAATCTGGGCTGGATTGAGTCTGAGTGTGGTGACGCGGTTCGATCGCTTCTGAGTTTTCAGTGGAACATCATACAAGCGCGTGTGAGCACAAGTGGGTATGAGTACGAGCGGGTCTGAGTATAAACATGAATATGAGTGAGAGTGGATATGAACATGAGTGCATCTGAATATGAGCGCCGTACCTGTAAGGTGGTCTGAATATGGATTGCGCCTGTGTGCGAATGAGGCTTAGCATGAGGACGTCTGAGTTTGAGCGACTGAACGCGATTTGGGACTGAGCGTGAATGAATCTCAGCAGCTGTCATTGAGTATGCGTGAGTCTAAGTATGACTGGGTCTTCGTACAAGTGGATGTATGTACCTCATGGAGCATTCTAGGGCCTCCTGAAACGTCCTGGGGCCTTCAGGGGCTTCGTGGAGCCCGCTGGGGCCTCCCAAGGCCTCCCAGAGCTTCCTTGGGACCTCCTGGCGCGGGCACTCTGCGGACTTGTGCGGCCTACTGGGGCCTCCTCTTGGGGTCTCCCGGGATTCCTGGGCCCTCCTTGGGCCTCTGGGTGCCTTCTCAGCTTCCCAGGGCCTCCTGGCGCCTCCTCTTTGTGGCTTCCTGGGGCCTACTACTGAGGCCTCTTTAATGCGTCCTGGGGCCTCCTGGGGCCCCCTGGGGCCTCCTCGGGCCTCCCGCAGCCTCCCAAGGCTGGCTGAAGCCTGCTCGGGCATCTTGCGGCCTCCTGTGGCCTCCTGCCGTTCTTCTACCTGAGAGGTCCCGGCAATCCTGACACGCAAAGGCACGTATCAACCCCTGGGCGGACGGCTGCCCCCTGGAAGGCCCAAGCGGCATGCCTGCTACATCGCGACTATCTTGAGGCTCTGAAAGGGGCACGCTTACTCCGCCAGAGCGGCCGTTCTACCAAAGAGGTCAAAAACAACATGGGCGCGAACGGGCCCGTTGTAATACCCTGGTCAACTCCCCCTTTCGGGAGGCCCCATTGCCATGTCTGGTGCATCGCTATGGTATCTTCGCTCCGAGAAAAGGACACGTCTGTCCCGCCAGCGTCCACTCTGCCCGAGATGCCCCGAGGATCTCGGCACGAACGAGCCTCTGATTGCCCCCAGGCTGGCTACACAGCAATGACATTTGGGATCTGACACGGGGCACGTTCGCTCCGCCAGAGCGCCCGTTCTATCCGGGAGGTCCCGACAATCTGGGCGCGAACCGGTCCGTGATAACATCCTGGTCGGCTCCCCCCTGGGTGGCTCAAGAGGCATGCCTGAGTGCTGCACCTGAGCGAGAGGGGAACCTGGGTGCGATGAATCAGCCCGAGTCGGCGGGAGCTTTGGAGCCTGAGAGGGCCTGACTGCTGAAGGGAGGAGGCACGATGAGTCCGAGGCGGGGCGCCTGAGGAACCACGCAACCGAGCGAGATATGGGTATCAAGAGCAAGGGGAATGAGCAGGAGGCAGATCACGCTTCTGCAGACCCGCAGCTTCTTCTGCGCGTGAGCCAGGCTGACTCTAGCCTGGGGCCCATCTAAACTGTAAAAAGGAAGATTACCGAAAAGAGGTCGGTCTCGAAATTGCTGGACGTCATAATGATGTCAATCGCGCCACAATGGGTGCGACATCCTTGTTATGTGTAGCTGGGCCATGGTGGCCACAGACGAGTTAACGAGCAGCACGCTTGTGCAGGTCAGCTACCCCGCCGAGCCTGCGCGCCTTGCCCCGCAGGCGCATCTTTCAGCAGCGAGTTGTACGCGGCCAGCGCCGCGTCGGCCTTCGACCGCATCGCCGCCGCCTGCGGGGCTCCCTCCGCGGCGAGCTTCTCCGCCGCCCACGCGAGCAGCGCGGCCTGCTCCTCTCGGCGACTCCGCAGGGTGTGGCTTGCAGAGGGTGCGGCTTGCAACCCGCGCCCCCGGGGGGCAGGCGAGGACCCCCAAGCGTTGTCCTCTCCGCGGCCGGACGAGGGACCCCATCGATCCCCTGGCGCAGCGCGGTGCTTCCCAAGCCCCAACGGCGCAGATTGCAAACCACACCCTTGGCGCAACCACACCCTGTGCCCATTGCAGTCGCCGGTCCTTCGCCCCCCTCATCGGCTACACGTAGGAGTGACCCTGGGCAAGAGTGACCTCTGGTGTGAGAGCGCGCAGGCAGCTGCTATCGCATCGCGTTCAGCCATCTGGGGACCACGGTGTACCCGCACCAAAAGGTCGTTCCAGCAAAAGGACACTCTTACATACCCCGAGATCTGACGTAACGAAAACGTGCGACATCCTGAACAAAAACACGCCCAGAGCCTCAGATCCCGTCTTCACGCGTCATTCTTCGAGCCAGATTGGTCTGTGAGGGTCCAGCGCCCCAAAAGGACGAAAACGCCCAGCTCGACAAAGCGAGACGCCAGGCTCTCAGGGTACGCACAGCCGGCCTCAGCTGCGCGGGGCCCGCGCTCGGCGAGGGGCTGGGCGCTGCTGGGGCCGGCGCGGCGACCTTGGGCGCGAATTCGTTCCTCCTCCTCCTCCTCCTCCTCCTCCTCCTCCTCCTCCTCCTCCTCCTCCTCCTCCTCCCCTCCCTCCCTCCCCTCCCCTCCCCTCCCCCCCTCCCCTCCCCTCCCCTCCCCTCTCCCCTCCCTCCCTCCCGGGGGGCGATGCGTGGGGGGGGGAGGAAGGTGCCATTTCGGACCCTCAGAGACCCCTTCTGGGCCCGAAAGGGCCCCTTTCGCAGCCTCAAAGGGCCCCTTCTCGGCAGCCCTCGCTGACCCCCCCCCCGTTCATCGCTTCACCGATCCCCATCACCAGCGGCGTGGCCTGGGCCCCACTGGCCGACTCTTACCCCCCATGGCTGGGGACATAGGTCGTTCCCTAAAGGTGTCGAGGGGCGTATCCTGCACTGGGGCGGTAACTTGGTGGGGGTCTCGAAGGGGATGGGGATGGGGATGGGGCTCGGTGAAACGATGCCGCTCATCGCCGCCCCAGCACGCGCCCCCTGGCGGCCACAGGGCTGGGCGCCGCCGGGCGGGGCGCGGCGCGGGCCAGGGCCGGCGCGGCCGGCGCCTGCTCCGGGGGTGCCTGCGCCAGGGCGCGCCACTGCGCCTGGCGGAGAGGGGCCAGCTGAGGCACAGCCGAGACGCTGTCGTGAGAGCGAGGCCCTTTTTCTCTCAGAGGTCCAGCTGCCCCGAGATCCTGGCGCCTCGACTCCTTCGAGCCGGGCGTTGTCGACCTTTGTTCAGGCCCCCGACCCCTCACAGGTCGGACCAGCTCGAAACATGGCGCAGAAAGATGGGGTCTGGGGCTCCCGGCGTGATTTTTTGCGATGTTGCAATGCTTCGGATCTCAGGGATCGCCCATTCATTGATCGCCGACGGGGCCTGGTAGCCCCACACCGCCCAGGAACGTGCGGTCCTTCGCTTTCGAGAAGCCGGTCCTCGATCTATCGACAGCGTATCGCCACCCCTCGGTCGATGCTTCCGCCCCCCGAGCCAAGGCTTCGCCGTTGTGGCCCTCGGGGGGGGGGGGGCCTCGTCGCCGCGGCTATAGGCGCAGCTCGGGCTGCTGGTGCGCGATGGGGCCTCGGGAGGAGTCTGGAGGCCGATCTTGAGCGGATCTGGGCCGCCATTCCCTCACCGCCTGCACCTGCATTCGTGACGTCCTCGCTCCTCCCTCCCCCACCCGCACGTGCTCAGAACGAGCGTGCGGTTATGCCTGCAACGTTTGACTGTTCCGTTTTGTGCTTTGCCTACGCGTCCTCAGGAGGCACGGCCCGCTGAGCTTTGGAAGCGGCCGGGGGGGTCTGAACTGTACGGACCTCGACAAACCCGTCAGGAATGGGAAGGGCCAATCCGCTGAAAATCTGCTGCTGGACCCAATCCCGGCACCCATCTGGTGCAGTTCTTCGCGCCGAAAACGGCCCCGGACGTCGACCTCGAACCCAGAACCTCGAACCTCTTCCCCCCTTCCTGTTCGCCAGAACCAATGCTGAGCCACCTCAAACCCCCAGCCAGCTGACGTTTTTTTTTTTTCTAATATCTATATATATATTATTCTGGTTTTCGACATGTAGTCGACTACCAGTCGCGCAAGCAGACTGGGGGGGGTCCTGACCAGTCGCCGAAAGAAGCCGCCAAAAGTAGCCAGGATCTGGTCTACGGGGGGGGGGGCGAGGGGGCCGCCCAGGGCCTGCGCCGATCGGCAGGCTCCAAGCTGACTTCGCCCGTCTCACCGAGGCGGTCCAGCAAGACAGCTGTCGGCTTGGGGGCATGGGGCTGCGAGGAATGCTCAGATCATCCGTGCCGTCGCGTCTGATAAAGGGGCCCATTGCGCTCTCGTGCCTTGTATCTTCGTAGCCCCTTCCCTCCCAACGCGATGGTTGTATTGCTCAGTGGTCTCCTCCGGCCCTGCTCCGAGCCTCGGCCTCTCGCGCCCGCTGCGCCGCCGCTGCGGCCTGCGGGGCGCCCGTGGCCGCGAGCCGGTCCGCCGCCCATTGCTTCAGGTCGAAGTCCTCCGCCCGAGGAAGGGCTGACGCAGGGGGGGGGGGGGGCACAGGCAGGGAGGAGGGGAGGAGCGAGGGGGGTGTCCCCCCGTCCTGCCGCCCATCCCTCCCCTCCCGTCCCCTCGCCTCTCCCTGTCAGGGTGCTGACATCATGGCCGCCCGAGCCCGCGCGCCATGCCGTGGCAAAACCCCTGAGGACGTGTCGCTCCCTCGCCCTCCCCTTGTGAAGCGGGAGGGGGTGGCGCCAGAGGCGCCGCCTCGGGTCGCAGGGAGGGGGGGGGTCCAGCGCCGACCGAAGGAATCCGCGCGGGCCTCCGAAAGCCTTGCGGGGACGGCATGTTTCGTGTCGCTCTTCAAGGGCCGCGAGGCCCGTGAGTGGATTCATGCAAGTCTGCGGGTCCCGCACTAGCCGCCCTCGTGGGCCGCCGCCGCCGCCACCCGCTCGCGCGGCGAGGGCAATGGAAAAGACACCACTGGACAAGGAGTCCAGGGCCTGAAAACCTGGTGGAACGCCAAGTGAGGCTCGGCCAGGGGTGTCACCGCCACCCTCATCGGGCACAACGTCCTCGTCGTCCTCCTCCTCCTCCTCCTCCTCCTCCTCTTCCTCCCCCGCCTCCTCCTCCGCATCCTCCTCCTCCTCCTCTTCCTCCTCCTCCTCCTTCTCCTCCTCCTCCCCCGCCTCCCCCTCCGCCTCCTCCTTCTCCTCCTCTTCCTTCTCCTCCTCCTCCTCCTCCTCCTCCTCCTCATCCTTCTTCTCCTTCTTCTTCTTCTTCTTCTTCTTATTACTACTAGTAATAGTCTTAGTAATAGTATTAGTATTCGTATTAGTATTAGTAGTAGTATTTGTATTAGTAGTAGTATTTGTATTAGTATTAGTATTAGTATTAGTATTAGAATTCGCATTAGTATTAGTATTAGTATTAGTATTAGTATTAGTATTAGTATTAGTATTAGTATTAGTATTAGCATTAGTATTAGCATTAGTAGTGTCATTAGTATTATTACTAGTAATATCATTATTATTAGTATTACTAGTACTCTTTATTACTATTAATATCAGTAGTATTATTATCAGTATTATTATTATTAGTATTACTATTATGATTATCATCAATATTATTATTACGATTTTTATTACCATTCTTATTAGTAGTAGTAATATTACTATTATTAATAATATTATTATTACTATTAGTATTACTACTATTAGTAGTAGTAGTATTATTATATGAATATGGATATGAATATGAATATTATTAATACTATTATTTTTCATCGTATAAGTATTCGTTTTATTCTTCTTGGTAGTATTATTACTACTATTATTATTATTCTTATTATTATTATTATTCCTATTCTTATTCTTATTATTATTATCCTTCTTCTTCTTCTTCTCCTCCTCCTCCTCCTGCTCCTCCTCCTCCCCCTCCCTCCAGGGTCTGCGGCCTCCCGGGCAGATTCCTCAACGAGCGCACCCGTCGCACCTTGACTTCGTGACTGTCGCCCGCCCCCTCTCGCCACGAGCGGCGAGCATGGCCGTCGGGCGGGCGGCAGTGGGTGGTGACCTAAATGGGGGGGGTGCAGAGAAGGGCCCTAAAGAGGCCCTTGGGGGGCCTGTGCTGGCACTCCAAGGTGAAGTCATCCCGCACTACCGCCCGCCCGATACACGCACGCCTTTGCGGTCTGGATTCCGAGACGCGATCCCGCGGATACGCTGTCGCACGGGTACGTTCTGCGCGGGGCATCCGCAAACAAAGCGCCCTTGCGGAGTCGGGGCCCGGGGGCCCGCGAGGCCGCGGACACCGATATATACATATACTTGAACCATCGCGCGCTTTGCGCGCGTTCAGGTTCTAGCAGGCCCAAGGCCTTGAAGAGTTCACCGCTCCACTGAAGTGGTGGACTACACATGGTTTGAACGGGACTTGGATAAGTGTCAATAACGCTCAACGCATTGTGGGCAGAGGGAAGTCCATGCATGTCAATCCGTACTTCGGAAGGCTTTCGGGGGAAATGGTTGCGTAACGAGGCGGAGGCCTGATGAATCGGGTTCCCGGAGAGCCTTCTGGGAACATGGTTTTTTGGGGCGTCTTGGGGAGCCTGTTGGGGCGTGCTGTCATCGTCGTCGTCGTCGTAATGTCGTCGTCGCCTCTTGGGAGGCGCCGTCATCGTCGTCATCGTCCTCGTCTTCGTCGTTTCGTCGTCTTCGTCGTCGTCATCGTCGTCGAATGGACCCCTCCCAGGATCCATCCAACGCTTCTGGACCCCCTCCAGAGTACCTCCTGGCCCGCTCCGTAGGACTGTCTGAAGCCGATCACTAAATCACAAACTCGGGCCCCGGCGCACGGAGAAGCCGGAACACGTCCCCGGTACGGTTCAACAGGACAGTTGGGGCAACTTTGTGCGAAACGATCCGCGGCGGGCCGCCAGAAAGCGATCGGTCATGTTCCCGGTCAACTTCCCAGACAGCATTCCGGTAGCGCGATGCTATCCCGAAGCCTATGGAGACTCTCGGGCCCATGATGAACCGTATCCCCGGAAGGCTTTCTGGAGAAATGATCAGATGAGGTGTGTTGGGGGGCCTCTTGGGCGTTCCCTGGGGGCCCCTTGCGGTTTCCTGGGGGCCTCTTGGCGGCCGCACGGGGCTTCTTTTCTTCAACCCTGATCCCCAAGAGTGTTCCTGAACGTGTCTTGAGAGGGATTCTGCATCGGCCATTCGCTGCGTCGCTGCGAAGCAGCACCCAAAATGGAACCGCTGGTCCAGCGGCCTCTCGAGCGCACCTGTTGACGGCCGCCACGGGGAGACTCAGC